CGGTTCGGCTTGGCTCATGGCTGGCACTCTCTTTGTGCTCATTTTCTATTTATTTTCTATTTTCGTGGGGGGCTCGCTCGCTTCTGGGCCACGCGAGCTAATAGTTAACCGAAATTTTGTGACAAATGATGCTTTATTTGCCCCTTTCTCGGGTGTGCCATGCCCTATAATTAAATGGAGTAACCCGCTCCCCCCCCCTCCTTGGCCGGAGCTCTGAAAGTGGGTCACGTGTGCCAAATGTCCCTCCCCCCGCGAATCGGAATGGTGCCATTTGCATGAGAAATTTGCCCCCAACATGCATATCACTGTCAGTGCTCAAAAATTACTGCATATTATGGTGGGTGGTGGCGGGGAGGGCAAAGAAAGCATGCAAATGGTTGGGGCTCTTTATGTGTTAAGCGATTATGAAATTGGTTATGGCTGGGTAGACACTCGTGTCGCGCGGAGGTGGAGTGTGCCACAGAGGTGCCATTGCAAGTGGAATTGCATCTCACGGATGGCAGAACAATGCAAAATACGGAGGAATGGAATTCGATTGGTATCAAAAAGGACCCTAGCCAGGTTCTCGTCTGTTTCTGTCGATCCCCCATCAAATTCCGATTCTGTCTGGCATTCCTCAAAATCATAAAATCAAAAAAAAGCTCAAAGTTCTGTTAAGTGTTTTTCTACCCCCAAACGCATCAAAGTGTCAAAAATTGTTTGGCATTTTTGGGCCGCGGGCAGGCATATCAATAAAACCGATCAAACAATAGGCTGGAAACGTTTTCAATTTCATGCATGTGCCGCTTGTAAATCTATTGAATAAAAACCCTAGACGTGCGATCGAAAAATATGAATAATTTTAACGAGTAATGTACGATTTCGGAGTTTCGGACTGTTGGCAGGCCGACGGCACTTGAGGCGTCAAGAAATCAAAAGGAAACATTTCAATAATAAATCAAGCCGGACAATGAGATGCCCAATCGAGTTCTGGACAGCTTATTGACACGTTGAGGCCATCGAGAATACCAAATGGAATCTCTCCTCTTGGCATTTCGCTGCTGGTGAATGCCCAAATTTGGGGCTCGGAGATGACACTTCCCTGCAGACCGACGACACGTACAAATGGCAACAGCAGCAGCAGCAGCAACAGCAGCACTCCTTCATCCGACAATGTCTGACATTTTGCAGATGTAGTCGAGGGTGCATTTTCCTATGCAAAATAAGTATAATGCAAATAAACAAAAAGCGGAAAAAATAAGTTTATTTACACGAAGATCTGTCGAGTCAGCGGCTCTCGTACGTACTCGCACATAAATCTTGCATCGGGTCTGCCCAAAATGATGGCAAGTGTCAAAAGTCAACAACCAAATGTCACGTTTTGTTGTTTTGTTTTTATTTTATTTTATTTATTTCTGAGTTTCCCCCCGCCAACCCTCCCTCTTCAATAACGAAAAGAGAAGCACAAACAAATTCGCCGCCTCAGTAAGCAATTGACATTTATTAAACAACAAAAAAGACAGACAGAGAGACAGACCTTAAAAAACTTTTGGAGGAGTGCACTTGACGGAATAAATGCACAAATTTGGATACTATTTCGGACGCTTTTTGTTGTTGTTGTTGTTGCTATTGTTGCTGTAGATTGAAATAATTCTCTCGCGCTTGTCAAAATAAGACACTGGCCCATAAATTGACAAATTATTCCCATAAATTTCTCGACACTTTTATTGCCATTGCCATCGCATCGCATCTCCCTCCTCTGCTCCTCTCATCTGGGGATCATTAATTCCGAAGACAAGCAACGAAATTTCTGTTTAGTGCAACTCAATTACTTTGAGTGGCCAATTTTCTTCTCCTTCTTCTGTAGTAGGTTTGGGGGTCTGCCGACACTTGACGTAGAAATTTCAAATTAATGGCTTCATATTTTGTGTTTTAATGCGGAGGGTCAGCAGAGCAGTCAGCTCGAGTGGGTTGGATTATGCAATGGCGAGCAATAAAAAACGGTAACTAAATTACTGGTTTTTAAAGTTCACTGGGGTCGACTTTCATTCGGACCGGACCTCGGACGTAATGCGAATTAATTTGATTACATGGCGACAGCAGAACACACTCGCACTTAAATACATACCTTTTGTGCTCAGTGTATGTGTGTCGGGTTTCTATAACTCATAATCATCCATTACTCCCTTCCCTTTACACCTTCTTCCGCCAAATTTGTAAGCAACGCAATCCACGGGCATACATTTTCCCTCTCACTTGCACTTAGCAACACCAAGGACCACATTCGACGATAGTTCGCTCTTAACGCCTCTTACGATCGATCCTCTCTGAGAGAGTATCTCAATTCGCACTTTTTTCCACCCAGCCGGAGTCCGGCATAACAAAGGAAAGGCAAATGACAAAAATAATTGTCCGCAAAGTAATGGAGCCCAAAGCAGATAACTAGAAATAAAATATTTGTTTTTTAATTAAATATAATATTTTTACTACAATTCTAGGAAATATTATTTATCTAAGTATGCAAATAATTAATTTTAATTTTAAATATATTTATCTTAAATCTAAAATATATATTTAAATTTTAAATCAATTATTTTGATATTAATGGAACAATTTAAACGAAAACCTTCTTCTTTTTACAATTTTAACTCTCGGTGAAGGTCCTCTTTATCTGAGTGTACACTGACAATTATTTCCTATACAATAAATAGGTGTTTGTATGTTCTTGGAACGGTGAGAATGATTCCCTTGGCATTGCCAAACAATCCTCTCTAGTTTGCGCCTCTGTGAGTCAGTGCGATTCAGACAGCTACTTCGATTTGAAATGTGATATGATATTGAGCTGCTATTTGGAGGTTTTCCAGTACGATACTTGCCTTACCCACAGCACAATTATTCAGGGCAAAATCACGAAAGCCATCTCGAGGCCAGAGCAACCCAAACAGAGCTCGGCCAAAGACATCTTCGTAAACTTGAGAGCCAAAAGACACACACAGCATTGAGTCTGACATTTGTGTTTCAATGTCATTAATAGAAATTGCAGATATATTTATATCTAAGATATCGGGTGGGTGTCACAGCAATGACAAACGATCCAAAAGATCTTGGGGGTTTTTTCAATTGAAATCAATGCAAAACCAAGCAATCGCTTTCCGAGGCGTGTAATTGTTGGAATGAATTACAATACAATTGACGCCAAGCGCACAGTCGCCAATTGTATCTGAATCTGCGTCTCAATTGATTTGTCATTTAAATCTGAAAGAGAACAATACGGAATGGTGGCCGTCAGCAGCGACACCTTTGCAACGCTAAGGTCTAAATTTAGTCACAGCCTTGCAGGGGGCTTTGGTGGGTTCAAAAAACTTTCGCTTATCAAATTACGCCCAAACCCAGACCTAACCCGAGACGTGGCCCGACTCATTGGGTCCTCTGTCTCTCAACTCTCTTGGCTTTCTACGCAAATTGCAAGAGTCAAACAGACAGAGAAATGGCAAACCCAAAAAGTGCATTAAATGACAGTCAGACAGGCTGACTGACTGACTGACTGACTGACTGACTGACTGAGTGACAGAAACCAACCAGCGACAACACAACTCTGAAACCGAGTTAAGAGCTAACTTTGCCCGAGTCTGCAGCAAAAAGAAGGGCAAAGCTAACGACTTAACAAGCAGACAACGCCGAAATACTTTATGAAATATGGGAAAACTCTAAAAAAGCCCCAAACTGAACTCTAACTTGAACGGAGCCAAACTCCACTCCACTCCCACTGCCGTGAACCGGCAACTGTCGAGCTTGATGAGGAAAGCGAATGCTGTAAATTATCATTTTATGACAGAAAAGTTTTAAAAGCCAATAAATTTAACTGCGGGTGGAAAACCCCAGGCCAGCCAAGAAACATGAAGAAAAAGTAATGGAAAAGAAAATGGTATAGGAATATAGCAATATAGGAACTAGGCGAGTGGTTTACAACTGTCGATGGTGCTCGTACCTTGAAATGTGGGAACCTGTTCGCGGTGCACTGAGAGAAACTATTCAACCATCGACTAATTGCGAGCGATCCATCTACGAGTCTGCCTACTATCCATCCACACTGTACAGTACCGTACAGTGTACGCTTTCATTATGCCTCTATTCATGAGGGAACTTATCAAACAAACTTAACTTTCTGCTGCACTTACCCTCCCGCAGGGGTGGCTCCACGAGTGTAGTCTGTCGAAAGGGTTTAGGGAGGATTATTATGCATATTGAATGCGAGTGGGAGCGGGAGTGCAGTGCGAGTGCGAGTCGACAGGCAAATGCACAACGAGGCAGGCAGGTGAGCAGGGGTGAGGGGACGTAAAAGGGTTCATAATTGGCCATGACTTTGGTTTCCAAGTTTTTATGCCTGTCAGCCGTTGCACTTGCAGGAATGGGAACAGGGAACGGCATGGTTTGTGGGTCTTTTTTGGGGGTCTACAATTGGTTCTTGTTCCAGAGGGGTTACACCTGGAAGACTCTATACGACCCCTTTGAAGAAAATATGAACAAAGTTGTTGGGCTTTTGATGACGCCGCTTTTCGTCGCGTCGCGTTTCCCACAACCCACAACCCACTGCCTTGACAATGAAATCTGCTAACTGCCATGGACTCTGGCTGTCGCTCCGACTGACAGACTGGTCTGGTCTTGTCTGGTGTGGTGTTTGGGCTGGGTTCGTTTTATGGTCTGTGCTGTGCCCTGACATGTCATTGATATTTCGGGGGCGTTTCTCGCTGCCATTTATCGAACAGTGCTTTGGGTTTTACTTATGGTGTGCACTTGGAATGCGCACTGCTCGCCGATGCTTTATTATTTATTATAATGATATTTCTCTGACTTCCCGTTGTGGCTGGTTGGTTGGCTGGTTACCGGTGCACCCCCCGCGGCGCTTTAAGGGTTAAGAGTCAAGGGCTTAAATCGTGCCTCCGGATTCCGTCCATTCAACAATCTTTTGTTTTGAGACCGTATTTTAATAAATTTTCTTCTTTTGTTCTTCTTCTTTGCAGTTGGCCCCAACAACCAAAACAAATGCAAATGTGCGCCCCAGAGACGTATCACCCCGAAAGTTATCAATCGTAGAACATTGGAGGAGTGGCGAAGTGGAGAGTGGAGCGAACTCAACCGGTTAAGCGGTTAAGCGGGCTACAATACTTGGATAAGTATCTTCTTCTGGATAGAATCGACCACACACAAAAGTCACCACAATGTTGGATCGATGCGAAATGCCGGTGAGTGGATTTTACTCATATTCAGCATCCGGTATAACAGATCTCCTCCATCTAAAAGCTTCTGAAATGTTAAATATCCAAGAATAAAATGTAAAATGTGTTCCCTGTGTATCCCCAGTTCACATTCGAGCTAAAACTTCCTCTGCAACAGATCAAACTTGCCATTCAAAAACAATTGTAGAATAAAACTCGGATCAGGGACAAAATTTGAATTTTCTTTCATATGTACAATAAATATATTCATTTCAATTGTAAAATGAAGTGGAAATCGAATCGAAAGCGTATGAAAAGGAAACGCTTTATGCGCCTCCATTTGTGGCATCGATTCTCGGGCTACGATTTGCTGCAAGAGGAAGATCTTAATACCTGCTGTTCGAGAGAATGCAAATGTTTCATGAGACTCGCTTCGTGTGCTCCACAGATCCAGCTGGACAACGAGAAGCTGCGACGCGATGTGCGGCTCTCGAGCTCCCGCCTGGACCTGCCTCAGCTCTGCAATGGGTCGCGGCGTGGCCTGGATGGCCACAACAACCATGTGGCAGTGAATGAGGCGGTCACCACAACGACGTCCCTCAATGGCAACAGCAACAACAACAACAACAACAACAACATTGGCTCCCCCGTCTCCTCGTCGACCACCAACAGCAGCAACGGTGGCAACGAGCGCGGCTCCTCCACCAAGTCCAACAGCAGCAGCGGCAGCGGCAGCTCCGGCAACTCGGCCAGCAGCACTGGCAGCGCCGAGCTCAAGTGCAACACGCCCATGACGCCATCTGGTAAGTAAAGCAAAAACCCCCAAATGGGGAGTGCCAGAGTGTGGGAGGATAACCTCCAATGGGGAGTGCGGAAGAAGCCATCTGGGGATGGGACTCGGGGGTCTCCGAATGCCTGGCTGAAGCTCAATGCCAATTAGTAAAGGATGAGGATGCCCTACAGCCATTTGATACGCTCTGCTCCACCCGCCTCTCCTCTTCTGCTCACTAATTAATTTTATATAATTTTTTAGAAAATAAAACTGGCATTGAGGTCAGGGTCAATGGGGGATTTTGGAGTGCGGCGTTTGCCACATGGGAAAATTCTCAATTACCTTTTTCTTTTCACTTAGTCGCAAGTGCGAAAAGGGAATGGCATTTCGGCAGAAAAATGCATGGAAAAGCAGGGAAAGTTTCACTTAACTAAAGCTCATTTTGCGCGTATATAGTTCTGGCATTATTTTAATTTTCGTCATTGATCGATCAGGCTTGGCCTGTGCCACAAAACAAACAAACATATTTCTAATATTTGTATATATTTCTTTCATTACTTGATGGATTGCGTGGGGAACACAGAGCTGGTGAAGAAGTTCCGCAACTACCTTACGGATCTGGAGTTCGAGGAGCTCAAGGTGTACAAGGAGGTCTGGTACTTCGGACAGCACGCCAGCAAGAACTACAACAAGCCCGCCCCCACAGCCAACACCACGAATCTGGGCTATGACGATGATAATGGCAACTACAAGATCGTAAGTGGGTTCCACAACTACAATTATTCAATTACTGACTAGATTTTTCTTTATTCACAGATCGAACACGATCACATAGCCTTTCGTTACGAGATTCTGGAGGTGATCGGCAAGGGCAGCTTCGGGCAGGTGATCCGGGCCCTGGACCACAAGACCAACACACACGTGGCCATCAAGATCATTAGGAACAAGAAGCGCTTCCTCAACCAGGCCGTCGTCGAGCTGAACATCCTCGATGAGCTGCGCGAGAAGGATGCGGATGGATCTCACAATGTCATCCACATGCTGGACTACACATATTTCCGCAAACATTTGTGCATTACCTTCGAGCTGATGAGGTGAGTCGAGTGCCAGACACGCTCCTTCCCCATTGTCAAGACCATCTGGGGACAGACCATCCATGTCTGACGTCAATGCAGATTAGCCTTTGCATTCGGCTTTTCGGCTGCCAGTCACGAAACACTACACAATACTCGTATATCAGAGTCGCTTACGACTCTGGTTGAGTCTTCAATTAAAAGCGCGTATAACTCGCATTTCTATTAACATTCTGCCAATTATTTGTGGCAACTTTCGTTGCGTGTTGGCTGGCCATAAAATTGTGGCTATTATTAATTTCCATGCTTCCAAGTGCCTAGCACGCAGTCGAATGGATGTTGGCTCCAACTTGAACAAAGTCCTTTTGCCTGCAGCATATTCACATGTGTATAACCGATGTCTCCTCAGCTTCATTGTTCTCCAGTTAAGTTTTATTGGTATCGTATACGTATACGTGTCGTATACGTACCATACGGTTCGGTTCTGTTTAGGTTTGGTTTGTTTGGCCCATAAATTTTGACTGTTTGTTTATGGTCACCGTATAAATGCTCACAAGTGGCATTCATAATTTGTTTTACGAGTGTATTCAACTCATTTACAGAATTATTGGGAGTCACCAGATTTGGCTTTACCTCAGATCGCAATTTCCGCACTAATGCGCTTTCCTCCCACCATTTTCATCATTTTCCGTGTAAACAATATACATTTCTATTTAATTTCCTGCTCCTGCCCCTGCTCCTGCCTCGTAATTTTACATGCCACAAAAGCGCAAACAAGCGCCAGACGCAGACACAATCTGAATCAAGTGGTGCACCCACCGCAGGCGTCGCTCGGCTATCAATTTCAATTTGAGTGTTGAATGTTGTGTGCTGTGTGCTGTGTGTGGCCTACTTGCAGGCGCAGGAACGTGTGGCACGCCTCCTTCGGGCATACGAGTGTGTGTGCCACATGTAGGTCCGACCTGTTGTTGCACCCTTGCAGTGGGTATGTTCTTTGATGGATCAGATGGATCAGCAGGGGTATACGTATACGTATATGTATATCCCTGCTGGCGTGGCGTAGAAATCTAATTGATTGGCATGCCTGAACCTGAACGGGGAACCTCAGGTGTTGATATTGTAGCAGGACTGGAACTGAGCCCTAGTACTGGCACCGGAACCCACTGCACACACGGGCATGTCAAAGTTTAGACAGCGAGCAACGCAAATATGGTAAAAATAATGCTCGTTGCAAATACATTGTGAGCAGCACGCGATGCAACAGCCATAGTTGGTGCAAAGCGAACGTCGAAGGTCGTCCTGTTTTTCTTGTTTTTGTTGTTGTTGCTGTTGTGTTTCCCTCTCCGGAGCCTCTGACATTTCCGTCAGTCGCCGGTGACTAATTTGTCTTAATTGCCAGCCTACGAAAGTTTTTCGCTTTTTGCATTTTGAGGCTCCATCCAGTTGACATTTTAGAGCACTGATTTGGGGGATTTTGGGGGGTCTCTAAATTCGAATGGGTTAGTGGCACGCCATCGGAGATAGTGGCCCCCCCCCCCCCCCCCCTTCCCTTCCCCGCTACATCTTCTCCTAATTGCAGACAACACTCGGCACATCGATGGGGCAACCGAATTGAATCGTTTACCCATCATCCATTCCCTGGACGGAAATTTAATTAATTATTTGCCTTGCGACTAATTAGCCGCAAAATCGCTGTTTTTGTTTGTTTCTTCGAGGGCGCACTTGTTCTTTTTTTTTTTTTTGTCTACTTTTGCCCTAAAGAAGTTTTCCCGCAATGGGAAAACTTTGTCCGAGTGACGTCCGAGCGGCAATACAGGAGTTGGGTAGAGGGAACCGCATTGACAACCCGGCGGCAAGTTTTAAAGTTTGTTTTGAACGAGTAAACAAATTGTATCGTAAGTTTTACGTAATTAAATTTACGTGCACGCAATTTAATTTGCATGCCCCTCACGGAAAATTCCCATAGCCAAAGGGATTGAGTTTGGGTTATTGGATTAGTGGTTTAGGACACAAGAAACAATTCTTGGATAGGAAAGGCTACAAATGTTCAAGGCGCACCTGAGCTAAGGAATGTAAATGAAAATAAATCCAAGCAATGAATCATTCAAAATGCTACAGCATGAGCAACATATTTTCGGAGCTCTGGGTAAAAAAGAAGAAAAATCAACGCTTGCAGTAGCGGCAGGCGTGCCTTGACACTAGAATAGTAGGTACTTGGCACTCAGATACTATGTATGTATATGCAGGAACTACTTTATGTACATACGTCGAAGCTCTTTCTGCGTATGCTGCCTAAAAGTATGCACTGGAGAGCGCGTTCCTCTGGCATTGATGTGTTACTTTTATTTGCTTCATGGCAATTTATTAACAGTTATTTATGAGTTTGTTGAACTAAATGAAGCTTAGCTCTAAGCTAGCTAAGCTTAGAACTCAATAGCTGATCTCTCCTTTTGTTATTGGCTCTCTCAGAGCCAATGGCTGCTCTATACAGGCACCAGGCAGACGCACAAGCGAAAAGTTAAGAAGAGAATGCAGGAGAATGCACAAAGTGCTTAATTCGAGACTCACTGAGTTGAGTTGATGCTTGACTGCCCAGCTCTGATCTACACGAGTGTAATATAACCCCCCTGTACTCTGTGAATACCGGGTGTAGGCATTGTTTTTCGGCTAACAAAAGCTAATTCACGTTTTGTGGAAATCCCTAAATGGCAAGGAAGCTCCTCCAAGCTGATTAGCTAATTAGCTGACGGCCCTTACACGAGGTCTGTGCAGAGGGTCTCTGCAAATATGAAACCTAATCTGTGACTGTGGCCCCAAAGTGACACACACACGCCCACTCATTCAAGGACTTAATTTCGCAAAAAGGACAGTGAGTGTCATAAGCAGCAGCACCGTACCGCAGCGCACCGTAGCGCAGCACAGCGCAGCGGAGAGGAGAGGAGAGGAGAAGATGGTAAAAACTAAATTGACGCCAAGTGACACATTTTCGCACACACACAATGTCTGGGAAACATTTGGATGGTTTTCCTTCCATTCGACCCTGGCAGGTGGCAGTTTCAGGCCCGTCTGGGACTTGTTTTAGCATTATGAGCCACATAATTCACAGCGACAGCGATAAAATAGGAGCTGCCAAAGTGCCAAAGACAGCGAGCAGAGGGCGGCAGACACCACACACCCCACGGAGCGCCCATAACTATGCAGCATATTGTCCCAATGACGATGACGCAGCTCACTCGTTTGTGTTTCTGGCCAAGAACATGCCTCTGCTGCCCTGTGGATGTGGCCAAGTTTCTGGCCCTGACACTGTGTGGGTGTGTGGGTGTGTGCCTGAAGGCACATAAATTGCAGCCTAATGTTGCCTGGGGGAGGGGCGAAACGAGAGAAGAGCCCATACCCGCTCTCGGCGCTCCTGGCGGTTGTTGTTCGTTGGTTGTTGGCCATGTCATGTGTCAAGATTTAATTTCCATTTTATGAACCATAACGAGATCGGGAGAGGGATAATCATCGGGGAATTAATTTTGTTTGCTTTCGAAAACCGTTTTAGCTACGAAATTAAATATAAATACAGCGAAAGGTATTTTGGCAGATGGCTCCCTTGTGGGTACCCATTCTGTAGGAGAATATTCCTTGTTAAACGGTGGATACAGCCCTAAGATCCGCACAAGCGAATGCTACAAAAGATAATGCCCAAGAATTGCCATTTTAAAGGTGAATAAATCTCTGCTCAGTGTGCCCTTAAGTCCAGAAACAATCCTTCAGGTTTCCCCGTATGAAAACTAAAGCCTTACATTTTGCTCTTATTTATGAGTTTTTCAATGCAATGAAACATTTGCCATTAAATGGAAATGGCAATTAAATTATAAATTCCTCGAAAAGTCTTTTTAAATTCGTGGCATAATTCAAAGTTAATTAAACGATTGAAAGGCTTTCAGCAGCCTCGGAATGGGCCTCCTGTGGTTCCAAAGTGCTGACAACACCTGCGCTTGTACTCGTATTGAATGCATCTGCACCATATGCAGAATCAAAGTGAACATTTAAATTAAATTGAAAATTTCCTTTCCTTTTTTTTTTTTGCGTTTTGTGACCCATTTTATGGGTGCCGCACACCCACTGTCACTGCCAATGGCACTAGCAGTCCATAAGCCTCAGAGCCGATCAATAGCAAACAGATGCAGCCACATGCTGCCCTAACCCTGGTCCTGGTTGTGGTCCTGTCGTCGCCCATGTAATTGACTAGTTCTGACAGCCTGCCTCACTGCGTGTGGCAGTGACATCCACAACTGACGGGAGACGAGGACGCGTCATCGCTGGCACTACGGATCCAGCCAAGGGATAACGAAATGCACCAACTGAAATGATTTTTAATTAAAATGCAACATGCGGCGTAGGGCGTTTGGCGTGGGGCGTGCAGCGTGCAGCGTGTGTCGGTGTGCCCGGCCTGTGCTGGGGCGTGGTCATGCAAATAAGCAGAGTCCTGCAAGTCTCTTTTTTAAATTAATTTTTGCACTTAGTACGCGTGTAAATTGCAATTAGAGGAGACTGAGGACAGAGAGAGACAGGGATCCTGTGTATTGAGTTACCAAGAGAGTAAACATGCTCGTCGCACTCTTCCTGCCGGCCAGCACGGCTGTATACGCAGATGTTGATGTAGGTTATTATTATGCCGTGCCATGGCACAGTAATTACTGCTAATTGACATTTCCCGAGCATAGGGTTTGTTTCTGTTTGTTTGCGCGTCCGTCGGGAGGGGCGCAGGAACAGGAACAGGAGCAGGGCCAAGGCCAAGCTATCTGCCATCTGATGAAAGGTAAAGTAGACTCTTCTTCCCTTTCCCCTGCTCTCTCTCTCTTTCTCTCTCTGGTGGAATGTTTCTTACAGTTCTGTGATTATTAATGGTTCGGTTCGCCCGACTGTCACAGGACCGTCGACTAATTAAAATGCCACACAACGAATAGAAACGAGAGATATTTTGTTTGGGATTAAGGCCTTGGGCCGCCGAGCCAAGGTCGAGCCACGGCACAGAGTCCCACAGTCGCACAGTCTCAGGGACAGAGCATCATTAATTCAGGAGGCTTTTTGCCAGTGGTTCCGTTTTTAAGCTGCTTAACTCGAATATTTATGGATATTTAAGTGGAAATGAATTGAAATAGGATTTATTTTCAATCTTTTTGCAGAAAAATTCCTTAATATTTAATGAAATTTCGCTGGCAATCGATATGGCCCGTCCTGAGGACATGGACGTATCCCCTAATGTATTCCACCTACTGCTCCATTCAGGCGCTGGAATTTGCTATGCAAATCAGGACAACAGCAGAGATTGAGGCGCCCCGTCCGGTCCCAGTCTTCGCTTGTCAATCAATTTCAAGGCAATCTTTTCACTTTCCCCAAGAAAACCAATTTCGAATTTATGCTGAAACTTGCCAAAAAGTTTTCCTTTCCCTGCCGAACCGCACAAAAGGTGACACAGTTCTCGGTGCGGCGACAAGTTCATTTGTGGCCAATTGACAGCCCTGAGCCATGAGCCATGAGCCATGAAAAATGTGTTATGCTCCCACGAGTATCCGCAGTCAGACCCAAACCGGCGCGACGGTGACATATACACAGATACACAGATACTCGCCGTGCAGATTGGGGAAGAGATATTGGATAGACCTTCGAACTTGATGTTGTTTATGGTGGGCGTATTATCCATTCTGCTCACTTTCACTCTCTCCGCCCCTCATGTGGGGGCTTCCTCTCTGTTCCCCCCCCCTGGTGTGTGCTAAATGCAGGCATTAGTGGCTCGTTACAGTTGCATGTTGCAGCTGCAGTAGCATCGCGGCAGGGGGCAGGGCGCTCGAGCAAATCAATCAAATTACCAACGGAATTTCGGCACGAAAAAAAGCGCCCAGCCCGCCCCAGTTGGGGCCCCAGCAATTCTCAAGTTCATGGCAGACTCACGGACTTTTGACATTGGTTCTATGTGGCATGTCATAATGCAGTAATAAGGTGCATTCCACCGAGCAGTCCGCCCACATACGAGCATGTACTGGGACCCCGATTTGCCGATTGAAATTATGACATTTTGATGATTTTCTTATTGGTTTGTTATAGGCCCGACCCGAGCCGAGCCGAACCTACCTGTCTGTCTGTCTGCCAATAGTGGGGCCGGCAATAACCGCTCCGCTCCTCGTAAAATCAATGGCAAGTCCAAGTCCATGCTTTAAAGCCGGCCGGGCGGCACTTTAAGCCTTGCCATTTTGGCATTTCGCATTGCCTACTTTCAGGCGCCAGTGCATTGGGGAAAGTTTTCAAATTAAAAGCCCCGTGACCTTTGCGGTCTGGGGTGCGCTCCCGTTACTCTATTTCCCCCCTCAAACTCTCGGCAGCCATCCATGCCATGCCATTATGTGGCTTAAGGGGGACGACTCACGGCCTTGACGCCTCTTTTAAACCCAATCAGCTTAGCAGGCTTTTAGGCGCACTTAGCAGCTCGTATGTAGATACACATGTGTGCTGTGTGAGGCGGGGGGTGGGGGGAAAGGAAAAGTGCTGAGTGTCGGCTGACATAAATTTTAATTGGATTACCCCATGAACCAGTTGTAGAACAGGGCTTTAAGCCTCAATGTCTGCAATACATGTGTAACAAATATACGAGTATATTTGCGTGGGATGTTCAGTGTGTTCTCTTTAACAGCAACTTTAACCTTTCGCATTCATCAACTTTGACCTCCCACCCACACACATCCGCCTTTCATGCCATCGCCAGTTATTACTTTCGGCATTCGCAATCTCTCTGCACACAGTATATGGGTCAAGCCTGTCAAAGGAGCACTCACGAACAGGCGATGAACTTATTGATGGCAGTTTCAGTCACTCGGATAAGATGCGCAGCTCGAGGGGAATCGGAAATGAAGGCGACTTCAAGAGTTCAGATTAGCAGGGGGACAGGACGAATGAAGGGAAATCTGTAGCAATATTTGGTGTTTGTGGGAAAGGAGATGAGTTCTGTGGTTGCCACAGAAACTCATCAATCATCCTTGGCCCTTGCCTTATTATATGCCATAAATTGACCAAACTTTCCCATTGATCAACTTTGGTTATCCCACCCAGGTGGGTGGTGAGTGGTGGGTTGGTTGTCTATTTGGTGGTTGCATTGACATTGGGGGGAGCCGAAAGAAACTCCTTTGTTATCAGTTAATTAATCGCCAGAAATCGCAGTAACTGCGAATGCAAAACCCATTCAGAAAACACAGCAAATGGGTTGACAAAACAAGATACATTTCGGCCCAGACGGGAGGGCAGGCACCGTGGTTGAAACGTCTTACAAATGGAATTCTTTGCACATAATCGGGGGATATCATTATTCTGTCAATAATTTATTGCTGGAGGATATGTTTAATTTGCGATTTCCTAATCTTTTTTTTTTTGCCCAATTTACGTGGAATTAAATCTGCAATCGATGGCTTGTGCCAGTGTGCGTTAGCCGTCAGTATTGTGGCAGCTCTTTTTGGCTCGATTGCCACCATATCTGTCGTGGGTTCTGTCGTTGTGTACCGGCTGCTCCGACATTGTCCATAAGGTTGTTCCTGCCTCACCTGCTGACGCTGAACGGCTAAACGTTGAATGCCTAAATTTGTGCCCGACATGCAATGGAAATTAATTCAATGCATGTTGCCCCGTGTCGTCGGTGCTCCGGGGCGGGCTTTAAGCGGCACAGCCGGCATTTCACTTGCCTCCATGCTCGGTCGGGGAGAGGAGATTGCACCATAACAAGGGACGGACTCCACTAACTCCCAATCTCTCTCTCTCCCTTTCGCTTCGCTCTGTCTTTGCAGCTTGAACCTGTACGAGCTGATCAAGAAGAACAACTACAATGGATTCAGCATGAGTCTGATCCGACGCTTCTGCAATTCGATTGTGAAGTGCCTGCGACTGCTCTACAAGGAAAACATCATTCACTGTGATCTCAAGCCGGTAAGTATACAATCACTGGGTAATCTTTGGATGTCCCCGGACTGACGAAAAATCCTTTTCATTCTGTAGGAAAACATCTTGCTCAAACAGCGCGGCAGCAGCTCCATCAAAGTCATCGACTTTGGCAGCTCCTGCTATGTGGATCGCAAAATCTATACGTACATCCAATCGAGGTTCTATCGCTCCCCGGAGGTGATTCTGGGCCTGCAATATGGCACGGCCATTGACATGTGGAGCTTGGGTGAGTGTGTGGGACCGTGGACGGGACCTGGGTCCACTTTTAATTAAAAACATTCTGCTTCGGGGGAGAAACGTCATGAAATTTTAAGCGCTGTTCGGCATTTGGCAGTCAAATTTATTGCACACACTCTGGCCCTATAAATATCCGTGGATATTGTGGCAAACGGATTAAATATTAAGCATTCCATGGTCCCATTGCCACTGCACGTGGCTGAGCGCTTCTATGGCTGTGGGTTTATGGGTCACGAGGTGGCTCCCACTCCCACTACGAATTTCCGTCCGTTCAATCGACCTGGCCGGCCGAAACCCGCTCAGAGCTGAGTCGAGTGTAGAAACACGCACTATGCCAATTAGCAGCAACAGGCAACGGCTGTAAAGGACCTCCAGACGGAACAAAGAGATATCGGCAAAGGTGGCGGCAGAAAGGGCCGCATGGACACTCAACAAGTGCCCCACTTGAAGTTTATGTATACAATAATTTTCACCAGCCCAGCCCCGCTCTTGGCCACTTCGAATGGCACTTCCTGGCCACCCCGCACATCCTTTTAGCGCCCATTTCCGACCACAACCACGTCCGGTCAGCGTTAGAGAACATCGTGGACTCCTGCCAGAGAGCAAGTGAGAGAGAGAGAGAGAGAGAGAACAAAAGACTCATTAAATGTGCGCAGGACGTGGGACGTTGGACGTGGGCAGCGAGGTTGGCTAGAGGTTGAACGGCTGAAGCCGGGGCCTAATAAAAGCCAGCTCGGTTTATTTTTATCCACTGTCTTGGGCTTCTTCACGTGTGTGGTGTGGCCGTCTGCTTACTTATTTGAGTTGCTGTGCACTGAGCATACACCCGTGTCCAGCGGAGTGGCGAAGGGAAATGGGTTACGTGTTGAATAATGTCAGCTCTTAACAAATTCCAAGTGGTCTCAGTTCTGAGCTCCTCTTTTATCTGGTCTCTGGGTCCATTGAAGCAACTGTAACAGAGTGAAGCGAGCGTCCGTGTGGGTTTTGATTGCTTTCAGCTTCATTAGATAAATGAGGTCGCAGGCTGAGGTAAACTCACAGACTATGCCGCTCTGTTTGCACAGGGAAGAGCTTCAGTAGGTCTGCCCTCAAAGCCAGTTTACTGACTAAAGCAGAAAATGATTCCCTCTTGTCTTGCGCAGCCATGAAAATAGCTCGAAAGGCAATCGACATCAATTACATCTTCAATGGATTGACTGGCAATAGCGTTCCAAATAAAATGGTTGAGTCAGAAGGTACAGAAAGAACCAAACTCATTCATTTAGCAATTTTGCTGTGTGACATCTCGCCCCATGAGTCAGCCTCCGCAGCCTCCGTCAATGAGTGTCGGTCGAGGCAGTCCATTAGAAAGTGCAGTGGAAATAAATAATGTCAGTGGGGGCACATGAATAGGGGACAGGGACAGGGACAGGACACGTGTCCGGCACAGAGTCAAGGTCAATGCGCTTGTCTGACCGCCCGAAAACTGCGAACTGCGGCAGACCCACCCCAGAGAATGGCCCGCACCCAAAATCAATACTAATTGGACTCTCTTTCCCTCTTGCAGGCTGCATTCTGGCCGAGCTGTACACGGGATTCCCGCTCTTCCCCGGCGAGAACGAGGTGGAGCAGCTGGCCTGCATCATGGAAGTGCTGGGGTTGCCGCCCAAGGTGCTCATCTCGGTGGCCAGGCGTCGGCGATTGTTCTTTGACTCGAGGGACGCGCCGCGCTGCATCACAAACACCAAGGGGCGGAAGAGGGCGCCGGGCAGCAAGTCGCTGGCCCAGATCTTGCACTGCCAGGATAGGTACTTCATTGACTTCCTGCAGCGCTGCCTGGAGTGGGATCCCGCGGAGCGGATGACGCCCGACGAGGCGGCCCACCACGAATTCCTACAGCCCTCCACCTCCAGTCGCCATCGCAGCTGCCGCATGTCGAGCAGCTCCTCCAGCTCGGGCCTGAACAGCGTCTCCCAGAAGTCCTCCTGCTACAACTTTGCAGAGATCTCGCCGGGCAGCGGTGGGCCCGTGGTGGCCTCCATCACCAGCACCACAGCAGTGAGCAATGCGGCCATCACCACCACCAAGTCGAGACAGCCGCAGCTGCAGCAGCAGCAGCAGCAGAGTCACAGCCACAGCAACCACATCAACCACACGAGCCACAGTCACGCCCAGTCGAACGGGCACCTGCCCGACATCAAGCTGAGCGCCGGCGATAAGTACAACAGCATGCAGAAGGTGGCGGTGCGCTCCAAGATCACCTCGAGCGTCTCCGACCTGGAGTCCGTGCAACAGTACTCGCTGCACCGCATCTACGGGGGCGTGGGCAGCGGCAGCACCCACCACGTCTCCTCGGCGGCCACCAGGAAGCATCTGAACGGAGTCAGCAATGTGGGCGCGTCTTCCAAGTACGGCAGCTCGACACTGGCGCACAATCATCACAATGTGAGCCACCACAACGCGTCGACGGCCACGATTGCCACGGCCACTCACCATCACCACCACCACACGGGCGTCAATCAGCCGGTGATCAACGGAACGGCCAGTGGCGCCATGTCGCACTCTCAGTCCACTGGCGATGTCTCCGACAGAGCCATCTTTGGGAGGGCTTGACTCCGAGCCCGCCCCACCAAGCTGGAGCTCAAAAAGTGCAAGCTGGTCAACATGATGGACTTCTGGAGCTAGAAGTGGCGTCCGCAGCAGTGCGCTGCTGTCAAGGAGCGCGAGGAGGAGCAGGAGCAGTAGCAATAGCAGGAGCGGGAGCAGGAGCAGGAGCAGGAAAGGGACTAAGATCCAGTCCTGGCCTAGCTAGTTATAGTATCTGTCATATAAGCCACATAGGAAGATGTAATTGTGCGTATTGTATTTGTCTGTGAGCGCAATGCTGTTGTACTCCCACTTCCTCCCAAACACCATCCCCCACTCGAAATACGTATGTAGGTACATCTAGGATAGTCGTCCCCTTGCGGTCCTTGCAGCACTTTGCAGTATTCTCTAAGTTTCCCCAAACTATCTTATTTCGCTACTGCCATAGCCAAATGTATTCCCCCCACCCCACCCTACCACACAACACCAATCGTATTCTCCAAACCTCCCCCGAAAGTATTCTCTTCCCTCCATTTTAGAACAGACCCGCGGCAAGGTGTTGCCAGGTGTCTGCTACACACGAAAAGTGTGTTCAACATGAACAAAACAAACCTTCGGACAGAAAACGAAATCAGAAGCCAGCTCAAAGGAACAACATACCCTAGATATAGTGTATAAGATATGGCATATACTAAACATAGAAGTAACGATTCACCCAACGCATCCCCTAATCTCCCAATCTCCCAATCCCCCACCCCACACAGATATGCATACATACATACATACATTAACACACATACATAACATACTCGTATTTTTAGGGTCACTTGCGTGCGACTCAAATGTGTAACAATTTCATACAGCTTCCATGTCTTTTGCAACAGTATCAAGGCTGTTATTAGTTACATATGCAAAACAGAAATGTATCTATATATCTTTAACTGTAATTGTATTCGTAAGTTAGGAGCTCGGGGGTGGGTTCGATGGAAAACCCACACATCACAGCGAACCCCCAATCAGCATGCAGTTGCATGATAAACTTGTGCATGAGAATGAATGAAGTACCACTACCACTACCTATGTACGAGTATGTACACAAGGAGTCTGGCCCATCCGCACGGAATACATGTCATAATTTAACGAAAACGCATATTAAATAAACCTTAGATTTACTATAACTCTAGGCATAGAATCATTTTGTGCAGATAAACCAACAAAACTGGCCAATATCACAATAATTAGAGAATTCAGAAGAATATAACAAACAGAACAGAACAGAAACGAATACCCGTACAATAATTATAGAGCGCCACCTTTACATATATGTAAACCGTATTAGTGGATGCAAATCGAGCAAATAAATACAATTTTATTCAAATTACAGTTTGTTCATTTTAAAATAGACACTCAACAAAGTGAACGGTAAACGGCAGCCAGCTGGCTAAAAGCTGGCTAAAAGTGTGTTAACCGAGTCTAGACTGTCGCCAGAGCGATGTTTGTAATCCGTAAAAACTACCGTAAGTTTAGATAACACTGTAAACAAATTGCAACTTTTGCTCATGACTTTTGGATATATAATGCACTAGACTCCAATATCTAATATTTACAATATACTAGCATGTACTCACCCGACTCGTATAGTATGTATACCCATACCCCATGCCCATACCATACCCCCCCATACACAGAGCTGCGATCCCTGGAGCTTGTTTCGTATTATTTATAAATGTTTTCTCTGCCACTCGTCGTAACTCGTATGTATATCCGATATGAACTTTCTTCAATGTATTATGTGTTTTATTATGGATTTTGACAGCAGCAAAACCAACAGCAAAACTTGATTTACAAAGTGTGTTCGAATTTAACGTTTAGTATTAAATTTAAACTAAATGAAGCAGACCATGCGAATGGAAACTTACTTATAATTACAAAATACACATATACATACGTACATAAATATCAATTTTAAATTAATGAAGCATATTAATTGTATAAATCGAGAAAGCGACATGTAATCAATTACAATTACAACAAAAAAAGGAATAAATGAAAAAATTATGTACTCAAAATATCAAGTTTTAATGGAATGCCGGGAAACGGCTTTATACCCACATATTAGGTAGGTATACGGATAAACAATTAATGATCCACTTGAAATTGATATTGATTGAAATTGCCAGCAAAAGAGGGTAATAGCTAAAATTTCAAAACTGTGGTAAAACCCAGAACATTCTTGTCCACAAATTTTGAGGGATATGCCAAAAGAAACGGCATTTCCGCCCACAGTGCACTGTGTTGTGTACAGATGTAGATGTCGATGTAGGAGTACACGTACTCTACATATAAAATACATCCATTCCGTTTGCATACTTTCTGGCTTGCGCATGTAGGAAATCTTCTGCCAAACGAATACTTTACAGATGCAACTAACAGTCGGCTTCTCAGTGTAAAGAAAAGTTTTCCACTAAAACTGAAAACAATAATGAACAAAGTAATTTTCCATACTTTTTAAATAAACATTAATCGATTCCTATTTACCTCCAGTAAGTACCTGATGTAGGGTACCCTGGCTACATTTATTTCGTGCATTGTTTGTTAAATCTCCATCTACGCAATCAATCTAATTCAAACGGAAGCAATAATAGGTTATCACAAATTATTATTCATTTTTCTTCCATTGTGTCAGCGCCGCTTCTTCTTTCCCAACGATGGTGTCGGTAATAATGATTCCACGTGACACCATTTGGGATGCCCGGGAGGGCTCTTCGCGTTGGCTCATTTAGTTTTTTTTGGGGGGGAAGGGGGGGGGGGGAAAAGAAAAAAAAAAAAAAAAAAAAAAAGGGGGGGGGGGGGGGGGGGGGGGGGGGGGGGGGGGGGGGGGGGGGGGGGGGGAAAGGGAGCCCCCCCGCCCGCCCGGGGGGGGGGGGGGAAAAAAACCCGCGGGGGGGGGGGGGGGGGGGGGGAAAAAGCTGTTATTGGTTTGCTGATATTTGTTGTATCTTTTTTGATGTTTGCGTGAATTATTATGCAATTTCCGACAGGGTCTAAACAGAGTTGCCAGTTTCAGTGTGAAGTTAAGACTTGTATATTTCTTATGTTTTGGTTTGGACTTAGTAATTACTTTTGGGGATCATTTGACAAGATATTCAATAAACTTTAACGATTAGACAATTATCCAAAATGACTTCGAACTCGGAGCAATCGGCTGGAGACCAGCTAGAAACACACAGACCTACTGTACTGTGGCGTACCAGAAAATCTTCGGCCTGTCATCAGCTTGACAGCTTCAAATGCGCAGCGTTTTGTTTTCACTTTTGACTCCTAAGTGCTGCGTGGGGCTTAAAAAGGCGCAAGATGTCGGGGAAAGTAGAATTCTAAGTACGCGCTTCGGATCCGCCATATGACTTAATCCCCAGATGCGTCGAAGAGCCCGCCTCATTCTTGAATGAAAAGTAAAAGTTGCCAGCTCACGATCCCGCGATGATCGTTCACACCGAACCGATTCCCCATGAGGGGCTCGGGCCGCGCGAGTGATAAGCCCAGGCCGTAAGCGTCATTGAGTCAAAGGTTTATTGACGTACGGCTGCGGTGGCTTCTTCAGCGCCTTCTTCGTCTTCTGCCGGCGATCATGATCCCCTCCCTCACAGTTGTCGTCGACTGGTGCCTGCCTGCCTGCCTGCCTGCCCACTTGTTGCCAGGTGAGGCCATCGCAGGCCGGGCTCGAATCGGCTCGGCTGTGTTCGGTTTGGTTGGGAGTTTCGGGTCCGTGGCATGGAGATGGAGGCTCTCCTCTCTCGAAGGCCGCTTCTGCTTCGACTTCGTCTGCCTCTTCTCTGCGGCTTGTGTTTTTATATTTTTTCTTTCTTCTTGTGATTATTCGTCGCAAGGTGAAAGTCTTTCTCCCTCAAGCAGTTTGTTGTTGCTATTTGTAAAGCATTTAGTCTTTTTCGGTGTTTCAGTTTTTGTTGTCTGGCTGTCTGGCTATCTGGCTATCTGGCCAGTGCCAACTGGCTTTTGTTGTTCGGTTAATCTTCGGCAGATATATGACTGTCCATTGGTTACCCATTCATCATTATTTGGAGCTAGTCTTCGAAAGTGCAAATTATTCATGCTCTAATCTAAGGTCATTTATTCGCAGCTTGAGAACTTTTCTCGCTGATCTTCGCGTATGGCTTTTCAGTGGGTTACATTTATGATATTTCCTTTCTTTCGTGGAATTATCCATGAGGTCATTCATGGCACCTACCCTCACTTTTTGTGAGAGGGAGCGGCGGCTCGAAAAATATTTTATATCGTTTGCCGTAAAATAAATTGCAGCTAGACATAAATGTCTTTGCCAGAGGCCAGCCCGGCTGCTTAGTATGTAGTGAGGGCAAGGCTTTGCAGATCATATAAAGAAACTTAGATGACTGTCCACAAGGGCAGACAGATGCTGGGAGGCACTACCAATTTGGAGCCGCAACACAGTTACCCTCGGATGGATGTAATTGATGGCAGACAACATCCCAACTGCCACTGGACATTTGTATCTATTTGCGTGTGACCCTGGGAGCCAATGTTGATGGCATCCCATTAAAAAAACAGCGAAATTGGCAATTATCAATCAAAACTGGCGCTGTGTGTGGGAAGTAATTACAAAAACCCGAACCTGAATATACAAAGTGGGAAAGACAGAGAGAGAGGGATAAATAAACACGAAGAAACTATGAAAAAAGAAATTAAAAATCGAGTAATTAGAAATTGATTTGACAAGGGGTTAACTTCCTGAATACCCGTACATCTCTTGGGATTGTGCAAACAATTCAATCCAGCCCGCTAGCAGGTGAAAATATTTTCCACCGATTTGGATATTGTGTAAAGGTTTTTCTCACAGCCCGATCGGTCAACAAAGAAAGCCATCAAATAAAGTTTAAGCACACAAAAGCTACAAAAGACCCGAGGAGAGCCGGACGGCAGTCAGTCAATGACTTGGACAACCGACCGGCGAGAGGGACCCGAATCGAAACCCCAGTATCATCATGGGCCATTATCATTGTCTGTTTGGGCACAAAGCCGAACCTGATAAGCTCTCTGGCGCTTGCTGATTATGCAATCGCTACTTGAATGGAGCTCGACTACGAGTATTTTCTAGAATTGCATTTGGGGCTTCAGATAATTGGCCGTTTGGGGTCGGAAAGTGAAATGTTATTTTTGAAGCCGGCGATGAAATGGGCATTTGATAAACTGATTGATGGATTAGTTGATTAGACGTTGTACCCGCCACTGAAATGTTTGGGGATCTGGGAAAATTGCTGCGGTAATTGGGTGGAAAGCTGGAAATGCAATAATTTGTTGAACGATGTTTTCTGATAAGAAATGCGTTTTTCTGTGTCTGAAACTGTGAATGACTTGTTATACAAGAGGAAATCAATTTAATAATTAAACTTACTCGATCGGTTGGCTAGGTCAGAAGAATTGGGAAAGTTTTACAGAGATTATCGCGAGGGAAAATGACCGAATTCCCGAGTCAAAGGGAAAAATATAAGTGCAAACGAAAGAGACATTCAACGTTGGTTTGGATGGTTAAATATCATATGGGAAAACTGAAATATTCTTAAGAGCTTGAATAGGAGGATGAGCAGGTAATAGTCAGGGCTATTTCTGATACAAAATTTAATACTTTTAGTTCCTGCTCAATCAATTCCATCCGCAAACAAATCCCCGAACTACTCATGGCGTGACCATCCATTAAGTGATCAAATCAAGCATAATGACATGCTGATCCCCTTCCAACCAGATTTGATGTGCTGTGATGTAAGTAGGTAGTGATCGCCTTCTGCGTTCGCAGCGGGATACCCGGAGCCACACACAACCGAACTGGAAACAGAGCATTAATCATGGCCACATCATAAATATATGAATCAGTCTGCAGATGAATTGTTTGTTCAACAAAAGTGCCATAAAGTCATAATTAATGCGGCAATGAGCATGGAATTCAGCTTTCAGGGGCTACTGTGGACGGCGACAGGGCAGAGCTGATAGACACACGTCTGTGGGCCACGATGCTGCTTTAAACGGTGTAAGTACACAATTTTTTTGGCGCGAACTCGAATTCTCGGACGCCCCCATCCGAGTGCTTAACTGCACTTCCGAGTCGGCTACGTGATGGCTGGCAATGGCAATCGCAGAAGATGGCTTTTAGATGTGGATGGGCCACTTCTGGGTTCGATAAGCGCTCCGACGCTCCGACAATGATTCACGCGAAAAATCCAAGCTCTCTGCATGGCATTTCCTCATGTTGCCGACTCTGCTCGGCAACACTTTCTCTTTCGAGCGCTCATCTGCGCTCTTTGCTTTCTCTTCGGTATTTGCCAGGCCAAAACGTAGCCGAGGCCGAGGCTCATTCCCTCTTCGACTCTGGCAACATGTTGCCGGTGTGCGATCGATGCGCCAGCCCCATCGTCAGCGTCAGCGTCTGAGTCGCAGTCTTCGTTTTGGCATCTTCGTCGCGAGCTTGGCTTAAATTGTTACCAAACGTTTAATGATCTTCAGTTAGTCTTCGAACTTTTACCGGACCAGTCGTGTCTGTGGCTTCCACCTGCAGCTCCCAGTTCCTCAGCGCGCCTCAAACGTTAACGGAATTTTAAACAGATCCGAAAAAAGAAACAGAAACTGCATCATTTGCATAAAGCAAATAGAAAACGATTCGAAACGAAAATAACTCTGGCAAAAGTTGAATTGGATTTTGATTTTGTGTTTCGTTTGGTTGTCTTGTCGTTTCCCTGTCGCATATCAGACAGACATTTCTCGCGCGCCCTTCCATCGTGTTTGTTTTATAAGAAAATAGTGCAACGATATTGGATTGATCCAACATAAAATATATTGGACTCGGTGTTTCGGTGAATCATGCGAGTCTCATTGGCACTGTGGGGCACTCTGTGCCTGTGGGTGGTCACGGCGAATGCACAGGGATTTATTCCGCCACCCAATGCGGGGCTTCATAATGCGGTAAGTCTTGCATTCGGAACAAATACATCCTTGTTTATGTAACGTTAAAATTCAACATTATTTATCAGTTTTCGAGTCTCGTTAATCTATCAAATCTGTGTCAGTTCAGACGATGTTCCACATTGGCTGCCACTGACAATGGCTGTGCTTCATAAACGTCATTCATCCCAAACAACCCAGGCCAAATGTGTGCCAAGCAATCATATAAATAAAAGAAAGAAATATTTAACACAGAATTTGCATATCCATTGAATGTTATGCAAATATTTATTGTGGACACCAAATTGACACAGTTTTTATTTTGTTCGCTCAGACTCTTGGCCAAAATGGAATCCCAAAGAAAGTTTCCTGCCCTGCCGCTGGGTAGTACTCATACGTACATAAATATGTCAAACACCAAACACTTTTTCGGTGGGACAAGTTTTCAGAGACTGCGCCTAAATCCCAGTCTAAAAATTCCACAGACTTGCATAAGACTTTCTATCAATAGACGAGACGCAGCCCAACTGAGGCCCAGTTTGAGGTCCGATCTTAAGCGGCTATTTAACAATTCAATTATTCAAATATTTGTATTCAGATTTCAATATTAATTGTGGAAGAATGTGTGCTGGCAGCATTGTAAACGAAAACGAAAACGATTTTCAACGCCTCAATGAACTTTCCCTTTTCACAAAAATATTTTGATCGGCCTGGCGAGATGTACGGGGGGTACGGATCTTGATTAAATGAAGATGCAAAGGAAGCAAAGCGCCACGAATCGGGCTGGCTGAGAGTAAGAGCCATAAAGGCATGAGACAACGTTTAAGGCATCGCCGGTGTAGACCTGAGTAAACCTGTTCGCTTGGAGTGGTCAAGAAACTGAATACAAAAAGAAAACCCTCTTTCGACAGCGGATGAACCGCAAACTGCACAGTCATGTGAATGTTTGAGAATTTCCTATGGAGTAACTCTGGGGGCTGAGCAAAGTTGAAGGTCTCTGAAGATATTTATGTTATCACCTAGATAATTGATTATCTTTAAGTTTGATTGGGAGTTGATCTCGGCTTCAAGCTCATGTTGATGTAAGCCGATCATGTTTGGCATCCGCTGCTACAGTTTCACTTTCATGGCTTAGTCCGAAAACTTTTGGCCAAAAGCCACAACAATTTACGATGTGAAATCATCAGTTTTGTTGTCTCCTCTTTTTTTTGGTTGCCTAAGTTTTATGTTAGGATGAACTAATGCCTATAATTGAGACTTGGATTACATAAAAAGATTAATTTCGATATCGTTGAAGCTGCAGGCAATATTTTGATACGCGATTATGATGGGCTGGAGCTGGAGCTGAAGGTAAAAGTAAAGAAAGATGAAGAGACATTGATCATCAGGGCTGAGGTGGCTTTTGACTGCATGTACGATAAACAAAAGAAGACAAATACGTGTATCATTTTAATTCAGACTCTCTTTTGTATCCCTTGAATTTCTTTAACCCTCCACAAATTTCTTCAGATGAATCCCATCCCGGACTGAATTGTCCTTAACCTTTCGACGCAGCCATTGACTTGCCGATTTCCTTTTCAATAACTTTAAAATTTTTCCAAAGCGTTGGAAAAACGTGTCTTGGACCAGATAGCTGCCAGCATCATCTCTCACCATTGACATAAGTTTGCTATGCCAATGGCCTGCGATTGCGATTGCGGTTGCAACAGCAGCAAAGGCTTAGCCGAATACAAAGAGGGAAAAAGTGCTTTTCAGCCGTATCATCATCTTCCTTTTGTCTGGCAGTCTGGCAGTGAACAGGAACTGGTCGAAGCCAAAGTTGGATTCGAAGCTGCATTGCCTGTCTTAAGAGCTTTTGTTTTGCTTTGTTTTGCTTTTGGGACTTGGAATCTTTTCGGTGGCTCTGCAATTTCCTTTATGCGATTCGGTTTTTGTTTTTGCTATTGCTTAATTTTATTTTAACTTTTATTATTTTGTACATTTATATTGCCTCACGTAGCATTTGCAGTTGGGCTGCTGTGTCGTGTAAACAGAAATTGCCGCCAACTTGGCAGCCAGGCCATGGCAATCGTCTGCTCAGCAACATCTGTTGCCCAGCGTCCATGTCCATTCAGTCCAGAGTTCACTGCGCATGCGCTCCAGTGCCAGTGCCAGTCCCAGTCCCAGTCCCAGTCGCGGTCCCCAATACAGAAATCCGCATCCAGACAGATACAACAATTTGCTGTCGCCGAACATGTTTTGCTGGGCCTGCCTCTGCCCGCCTGCCAAATTGTTTGCAAAAGTTTTTTGTTTCGTCGTATATTTTGCGTTTATTTAACAGATTTTTTTATTTATTTCTTCTTGGGCTTTCACTTTTGTGGAGTACACATATAAACACATATAAACAGAAGCAAGAGATAAATGCTTGACTAGAAGATAAAAAAATTCAAAGCAGAAAAGAAAGATTCCATTAGCTGCACATAGTCTAACATGGATACAAAATATTTCTTTAAAAACGCTTTAAACTATATAGTGCAACAATCATGATTCGTTATCTTTAATAGATAACCGATCCAAATGAGCCAATATTGGCATACATTATATTATACAACCGATCTTACATTTAAAATTTTACCTATTAATGGGATAGCTTATCAATTTCGATTAAATGTGGCCTGAAGCCAAAAATATGACAGACATTTCCCATTGATTTACTTGGGGGCATGGCATTCACGGAAACTGGTTGGCAATCATTTTATATATCTGACAGGCCCTCGGTCCGGCCCTACAACCTGTTCATTGTCGGTTCGCTTTTGTTGTCGCAGCACCACCAGCAACAGCAACAGCCACAGCCACAGCCACATCCACAGTAACAATCATAACAAGTCGCCGCATTTCATTGTAATTTCTTTTTGCGAGTTTGGTTCTGGTCGTTTTCATGGCATGGAAAGTGGGTCAATCGAGAGATCTTTATAAATATTGTGGTTCGGTTGCATATTTATCTGAAAGATATTTCGGTAAAGTGACAAACTGTTAATGGATTTGGCTTGAAAAATGAAAGTTGTTTTGTTGGGGCACAGGAAGGTGTCCGATCGAAAGAGAGAGGATGATGGCACTTGCCAGGGCTCGAGAGCTAATCACGCTTAGGGCCCAATCATCGCACCTCAATCGCCTTTGATGGCGTCTCTGCAGTTTTCCACTTGAGGAAAGTAACAAGCTGCCATTAGCCAGGCGCCACACTAAATCGATTCGCATCAAACAAATCCCATTGAGATCGCCTTTCAGCTGCCAACCACAAACAAATAAAATAATTGAACGCTAATCACACACTGAGAGGAGGCCCAATTGGGGTCTGGTGGGTTTGGGTCTGGGTCTGCCCCACCATTAGTTACTTCTTTCTCAATTTTATTTATTTTCGTTGGACGCCGTGCGGTCTGATTTAATTTGATTTGCTGTGCTTCCAACTGGTTTCCAACTGATTGAGAATTAAATCAATTTCGCTTTTGAATGAGAGGAAAATGGTTCGAATAGTGAATGTCATGCCTGATTGGGCAGAGGAGCAAGCGGAAAGGGGAATGGGCTGCCCAGGAAACGAATGTAAAATGTAATTGGAATTGTGATATAACTTTGATTATGAAATCCTTTATGTTCAAATGAGTTTCACCAGTCCGTGACCTACAGGGGAGCCTAAATAGAACGTCGCAACATTGGCTGGGAAAACTTTGAAGGCGAATCGCGGATCTCCCGCAGACTGGGGGACACGTGTATGGTTCCCCATTACTCTTCCGACTTCTCAATTATTAAGTCATTAACATGAACTGTGATCTCTCCCAAACGGAGCGTCTGTTCCGCGTAATTTAATGGAAACGATCGGTGGCATTATCTGGGGAAACAATAATTTCACATGCCAATTGCGGGCAAACCTTTCTGCCATTAAAATGAAGCACAGCATCTGTCAGATGGGACGGGACGGGAAGGGAAGGGAAGGGAAGGGAAAAGAAAGTAAAAGGGCTCGGCGACATAACTCATCGCCTGTTATTGACAGGCGGCCGAGCAGCTTCTCTTCTTTGGGGTCATTAAAAGTCGCTTGGATTTCCCAAAAGCAGCAATGTCAGATAATGTTCAAGCAAAATCGGTTTTCTCATAGTTATTGTTGCCTAATTACGAATTACGACAAATAGGAATTGGAAATCGGAGTCACCCGATGAATGCCGCAATTGGATGTGCTATGCGCAGTAAATATATCAAGGCAATTTTCACCCACCATGCAGCAGGCAACAGGCAGCAGTATCCAATACCCAGTACCCAGTGCAGCAAGTGTCAACTTCCGCATTACTCATACGACACGTGAAACGGGTTTGGCGGCGGTGGCAGCCTCAGCTGCATCTTCTTTCTCGCCATAACTCAACACGAATATGGCCAAAAGTCAAACGATCCTCGTCGAGGCTTCGCTTACCCCACACGTAATGCAATAGCCAAGCCCAAAGATCTTGCCCGGACAGGGACCGGGATCGTCCCGAGCCTCCGAGCCTCCCGAGGCAGCTCAAGCTGGGCAACCCGTTATTGCCCGATGCTGTTGCACTTTCGTTTTTCTTATTGTGGCTCTGCCTTTTGTCTGGGTGAAAAGTTTATTGCGCGAAAATGAAGAAGCGTTTGTTGCTGGCACAGAGTTCCAAAACAAGATTTCAAATAGCCCGCTGCTGCTGATGATGCTGATGATGCTGCTGATGATGATGGTGGTGGTGGTGTGGCAGTGGCAGCCTCCAACTGCAATGGCATCTGCAACTGCTGCTGGGGCCTGGTTGGGTCTGGTTGGGTCTGGTCTGGCCTGGTCTGCCGAGAGATGTTGCAAGTCGACGACGAGTTGCATAATTTGTTTGTTTTCCTCTTGGCTGTTTGGTGGGAGTCAAAGTTTTGTGGGGTTCGTTCGCCGTGCCTAAAACAACTAAAAACTTGTCCATTGATTTGCACTTTATTTCTGTTTTGAGCGTAGAAAATTTACAAAAGAAATTATTTAATGGCATTTTTGTGGTTTTCGTGGT